ATCAGAATTAGATGAAATGGATTTTCATTCCCAAGGGAAAGGGAGAGAATGGCCATTCCCTCAAATGAAAAAATGTCTTTTCACCAGGAATGAAAATTAAATAAGATTCCAATTTCACCCAACCAAACAGTTGGACCATTCCAATTTCAACTCCAGACCCCTATTCAAGAGAACTAAATGGACCCTTAGTTTATCATATATTCTTTATTATTTACAAGCTTGAATTGCTGTTCTTTTTTTTTTTTTTTTGAGGCTTACACCTCACCTTTTTGAGCCGTTACACCTCAATTATGCCTCAAACTTGTAAAACCTTGTACCAAACAAGTTCTTATAGAAAACTTTGCAATAATCTATCCACTAGGGTATAGGCAAAAAAAAATCATCACACCATAAAGCCAAACTTGAGCCTGTCATCTTTAACAAGGGTGGGGCATATCTGTATTATTTCATGCATGGTTTTCAAAACCAGACCAGACCGGATGGTCAGATAGGAAAAACCGGGAACCAATCAAGTGATTGGTTCCGTTTTCCCTAAAACCGTTGATTTTGGTCAGTGAACTATTGAATCGGGCGGTTAACCGTTCGAACGGTTTTGACCGTTTTCTATTTTTTTGAAAATTTTTTCTTCTTGTCAGAACGGGTCGAGCATTCGATTCGAACAGCCGGACTGTTTGACCTGGTAACCAGACCCCTGAACGGTTCAATCACCAGGTCGGTTTTAAAAACCATGATTTCATGCTATCGTAGATAACAAGCAAGCAACTTGCCAAATTCACTAGTCGTGATTGGCTATATGGCTTTGGCTTTGCCATACAGCCAATTTCTTTTTGCGCTCTAGCATGTAAGTAAGGCTGCATTTGGAAACGATGCAAATAAGTGTGAATGCAAATATGTAGAGTGTAAAACGGTTCATATAAATTGCAAAACTGGGTTAGTTTTACACTGACAAATTTACCTTCTTGCCAATGGACTTTTAGCTGTAATGGAAGCAAACATGAATTTCAATAAAGCATATGCTTTTTTATCAAAAGTCCACTTGAATGCAAATTTACTTCTTTTTTATTGATGTACTTTTACATCTTATTATCAATGCAGATATGCATTGGTCTGTCATTTGTCAATGCATAAATGTAATATTGCCAAACACAAGCAAAAGTGAACCAGAGTACAAATTTGCCCTGAACCGAGATTTACACCCTATTTGCATCTTTTCCAAACACAGCCTAAGGCTCAGTTTGGAAGCAGTAAAAATACAAATATATACAGTGCAAATACAGGTTTAGAAATACAAAATACAAGGCTTTGCACTATACATATTTATATTTGCACTCCTTCCAAACTGAGCCTAATGTTTGTAGTATTGCATTGGTTGAGGCAACAAAAAGTAGAAATTGCATTGGTGCAAACACTACCAATTTTGATTTCCAGGCAACCAAAACTAAAACAGCAAGGTGGTATTTGGGAGAATGCACCTCTACCCACAGAAAAGGTTGCATTTTCTGCAGTTGGAGTTCAGTGCAACCTTTGATCTCCGCCTTCGAAGGCCAAAAATATCTCCAATCCATTGTGTGGCTTTATAGCAAAACATAGCTCCTTTCTTGCATTTTTTTTTTATCAAATGACTTCTGTTTATATTTTCTTTGTGAAATTATAATCTAACTTATGTTGTTCTTCTATTCACTATAATTCTGTGATTTAAAATGTAGTATTTTCATTTTTATATTATATATATAATATCATAAAGAAACTGATAGTTGTATTATTTTAATTATTTTCGTTTTTTATTAAAATTTATAATGTTCAATGGTTGCAACATCAAGAAGTACCAAACTCATTCTAAGAGGTAAATTTGTAAAATAGACATTTCTAAAATGTCACAACATTCGAATTAAGCTCACTGCATTCAGAGATTTAGAACGAAAAAAAAAACAAGGTTTAAAGTCTGAGCTCAAATGTTCCAAACACCACCTAATTCACTCCAAGTGCTATGGAAACATTTCCACTAAAAATATCTGAGGCAAACCTTATATATACCATTTACATGATTTTGCTAATGAAACCTCTTCAATAATTGCAGAAATATTGCAATATCATATCATAGTACGGTTTTTCATACCAAACCCAATACATTAGTGGTGGAGCCAAGTTAATTCCATTTTCAGGTGCTCTGCTTCCTACTGAGAAAAAAAAAAAAAGCATTTTTGGTTGGTCAATATTTAGTTTTCAGCCACTGGGCTCACCATAAACCCATTCTAAGCCTTCATTATTAGAGCCTGCTTTTGCTTTTGGGCTAGAACTTCTTATTCCCCAAGAACACCTAACCAGACTATGCCAAGGGTGGATACTTCTGACAAAAAGCACCTCCATTCTTAAGCATTGATTTAGCATTCCAAAATCAACTTCGAAAATTTAGATTTAAAAAAAAAAATTGGAAAATGCTTGCCTTGATTGGAGCCAATTCCATCAGAGTCAGGTATATTTCAAGGTTTGCAAATGAATCACTTGAACCGATGTTTTAAAATTTATTCAGAATCGGAATCGTTCTGGCCACCGGTTTCTGTATTGATGGTTCAACCATTCAGTTTGAATGAATGGTTCATTCTAACAAAAAAAATTAAATTAAAAAATTAATTAAAATAAAAAATAGTCAAAATCATTAAACGGATTGAATGTCAACAATTCAACCACTTGGGTCAATGATCATTACGATTTTTTCTCTGTTAGAATATCCGGAAGCTTACCACATGGGAGGATGATGAGATCGATCTATTTTGCATTCACCACCAGCGAGATCAATCCACTCTTGCTACACTTCGAGCTGTCACAACTCAGAAGACAACCGCCTAAGTTCCTAACCCAACAGTACTCGTCATCGCCATGTCGTCCAGAAGCCTCCCTGAAGAAGTCGTCTTCGACATTCTCTATAGACTTCCCGTGAAGTCACTACTGCAATCTAAGTGCGTCTGCAAATCATGGTTCGCCTTAATCAGCGACCCTCGATTCGTCAAACAACATCTGAACCGAGTACTTGAAAGCATCACCACCCCCAACGACGATGGCGGATCCTCTAATTTCATTGTCGTCTCTTCCGGAACTGTCTATCACGTAGATGATGGTTCTGAGAGAGCAATGCATGATGGGTCGTCGAGAAAATTCGATTTGCCGTTTCAGGATTCTTTCAGATGGCCATGGGTAGCGGGTTCCTGTAATGGGTTGGTGTGCTTGGCCAACGAGACATACGATGACACCCTAGAAGACTTGTTTGTATGGAACCCATCTACCGGAGATTACATTAAATTGCCGGAAGCCCCTTTTGAGCTTCCTCCATCCTCCCTACTAATGTTTTGGCCTTCGGCTACATATCCGCCCTTGACGAATACAAAGTAGTAAAAATTGTTCATACTCTTGATACTTCAAGAAGACCAGGCGTCAATGGATCCATAATTCTGGTGCATACACTCGGCACTGATTTGTGGAGAAAGATTGGGGAAGACGTCTCTTTCCAATATCATTCCATCGTCTTTCTCTTGAGAGAGAGGCGGAGGAAGACGATGAACAGTATTATTGTCCATTTTCGATATTTTTCTAAAAAAGTTACTCTATTTTAATTATTTTATAAAAATGTAATTTTTTATTTATATTTAGGACAAAAAGTTGTGATTATCTACTAGAAACGCTATTTTTTATAATATACTATATTCTTATATTATATAGAATATAAAAATATATTTTATAATATATACGTACATATGTATGTATTTATATGTGCATGTGTTAATCGTAACAAGCTTGCAAGCTTTCAAGCCAAACTTTTTAAGTTCGAATAAGTAATCAAGCTTATCCAAAGGCTGCCTTTGGTTGTAATGCAAATGCAAATATATACAATACATATTTACCCATTTTTGGGTTCATGAATGCAAACACGGTTCACATTTTAAACTGTTTTTGCGTTCATCTTGTTTGTTTGAAATTGGTGCAAAAGTGTGGATCCATCATTAAATGCTCCAACTATCTTATGCTCCAATGCATTAACTTTGGTCAAAAAGTTAATTATCAAAAACACACAAAATTGTATCCAAAAAATAGGTACAGTAATGCTTTCTTCTCAGAGTACAAAAGTAGGAATGGCAACGGGGCGGAGCAGGGACGAAGAGCCTCTCCCCATCCCCGTCCTCATCCCTACTAACAAGGACAAGGTTATCCCCATCCCCATCCCTGCGGGGATCCCATTCCCCGTAATTTTTTATAATGTTAATAATTTTGTTTTTGTTTTTTATTTTATTTAAAAAAAAATAAAAATAAAATAATTAAAATTTACAATCTACTAAAAAAGATCCAAACATATTCAACCATATTTTTAAAAATCAATATATAAACGTATGTGTACATATATAACGTATACATACATATATATTAGTGGGGATCCCACGGGCAGAAATCGGGGTCCCCGCGGAGCGGGGAGTGCTCTCCTTGTCCCTTGCTAACAGGGATGAAAATTTCCCCATCCCCATCCCCATGGGGGGAAATCATCCTCACCCCCACCCCATTCAGGACGGATCCCCACAGAGATCAGGGAAATGAGGAAAATTGCCATCCCTATTCAAAAGTGTCGGAAAATATAATTTTTCTTTGATAATCATTACTTTTATACGTTTCAAACAAATGCTCGCAAATGCGAACCAAGCTACATAAATACCCCGGTTCGGCATTTGTATCGCAAACAAACGGAGCCTAAGGTTCAAACTCACCTTGAACTCGATTAGAATCGAACTCGAATCAAGCTTAATCGAATTTGAGATCGAGCTATTCGACAAGGGCTTGACTCAATTGCAGCCCTAAAAAGATGTAGTGGAAACACTAGAGAAATCCATATGAATAAATTTCAGGAAACGGTTATAATACATGACCTTGTAGATTTTGGCTTAGAAGAAACAAATTTACTCGAATAAATAAAGGCACTATCACTCTATCAGCACTCTATGAGAAAGATAGGCAAGCACTTGAAAATGCTGATTGACACTGTTGGTCCAATATTCCATGAATTCTTGAGAACACTTCTATGTAACATTTCCTTTCTTATCCCCTGGCTTATTTGACATAATCAACAGCTAATGTACAAAATGAATGTCATTTTCACATAAAACATTACTTGGAAAGAAAGGAGACATTTTACACCTCTTTTTGCAGGTATATAATGTTAGAATTCCAAAATTAGAAACTATTTTAATGGCTACTTTTCCATAGAGGTGTCTGCAGGTCCATGTTATCTCATATTGCGGAGTCAGACTCTTGGACACATCAGATTCCAACTCCTGTGTCTCTGTCCAAGAAAAACTGCTGATTGAAGAGTGATATGGTGCAACAATCAGTCTGATATCTGAAACATCATCAGAAACATGAAATACAATTTCAAGTTCTAATTCTGGTTCTAGACCTGATGAGGAAATTAACACAAAAAGAACAAATTGATCATTGTTATCCATCACAACATACATCGTAATTGACAACCCTTATCATCAACCCTGGATTCTTTAGGCCTCCAAGAAAAAGAGACCACCTGCAACCAAATTATTCATGGAATGTAAGCACTTGGAAATCTTTTTATAAAACATAGGCTCCTATCAATTATGAACTTAAATATTAGTTTTTTTCTTTTGTAATAGATTATATGGTTGATGTATTACAACTATTTCCATTTTCTATGAGTTTAAATTTTGCTTGAACTCATAGTATCACAGTTTTGAAGCTTAAGGTTTACAGGACAACTTCAAAACGTATTCTTTTGTTTATAACCTTGGTTTCTTAGCTTTGTTTAATGATTAGGAACACGATAATAATTCAAAAAGGTGTTCCTGTGAAGTGGGCTCAAGATAAAAGAAAATTCCCAAAAAAATAATCTGGTGACAGGTGAAACCTCTGGTAATGAAGTGGGCTCAAATGCAACTGATAAAGCAGTACGGAAGGATAAGGGTGTGGTGAATGCAAACCAGGTGTTTGACATGGCAAATTGCTCTTCGAGGCCAAACAAAGGTTTCAACCCTTGATATAGTTATAGTTAGTATGTCTGCATGTCTAGTGTTTCAATTTTAATTTTTCGCTCTAGTGTGTTCTGATCTTATTTCTTTAAAAAAATGTTATTTGGTTTGCAAAAAGCCAAAAACTTTGGAATGTGCAATCTTTTCATCAATTAAATTGTATGCACGAATAGCAACTTAAGCACAAAAGGGCAGGAAATACAATGTTTCTGCATCTTTTGCACCTACTGAGCTTCTATTCTTCAATTCTATTTCTTGATAGAAAGTGCTTCTTCATATTATTTTATGACTTCTTTCTTCAAGCATGATCTAGAGTATGCACAAACTCTATTTGCCCTCTCCTGCAATAGGAAAGTTCTGCTCTAATGATGGCTTCAAATGAATTAGCCACGTCTTTGATTTTTTTGAATTGTTGTCTAATTAACAAGTTTTTTCCAAATCTTATATGGGTTCTGGTTAGCATAATTTCCATGCTATGGTTTCACAATAACCAAAATGCGTGGAGAATGAGATGTTTTGGTTGTCAAGGATCTTAAGGTCAGATGTTATGGGTGATAGCAGATGGTTTGTTTTATTTTTATGCTTGCTTAGATTGATTCTTTTCATGTCACTTGTTCTGTTGGATGTCGATTCTTTGATCTGTATTTCTTTGTGTTCTGCATATCGAATTGATCCTTCTACCAAAAATTATGGATGTCTCAATATATAAAGAATGATAATGGAGAAGGATTAACAAATGGACTTTTACTCTACACAAGTACCAAATAAGTCATGTGTTACAGATAATAAGTATCTGGTTGTATTAGGTGCTATTTAACTAACACAATGTTACTAGCTGATCTGGACTGTCTTCAAAGATAAGCGTCCAAAAATGAAGAGGCACATAATTGGGATAACCATAAGGACCTATGACAAGTTCCAGTGGTGAAAATAACATTGCAGTATGACAACATATACCTGCCACTTCTCACATGTGCTTTAAACTATTGTTCCTCCAATCTCCACTAAGTTTCAATACACCATGTAGCCTACCAAAAGGTGCTATGACAAGTTCCAGTGGTGAAAATAACATATGACAAATACCTACCACTTCCCACATGGGCTTTGAACTATTGTTGCTCCAATCTCCACTAAGTTTCAATACACCATGTGGCCTAAGACTATGATGTTTAGATACATTTACATGCCTAGTGTTCCATAGTTGGACATAATACATACCCAATCCAACACAGGATACTGCATGGACACTTCTAGAGTATACTTTACATCTCCACATAAAAACAGTTAACCATAGGATACCAGAGAAAAGCAGATTGACATGGCAATGGAACTCGGGCAAAATCTTATCCATCTTTTCTTTTTTTTTCATTAGTTGTAGTGATGCCGATTGCATCAAGGCTTATGATCTTTGGTAATGGCCTCCAAGGTTTTCTCAAATTAGTATCTTCTATATACGGACCGATGCTTAACACCTTAGAGATGCATACTACCAAGTCCATTGTTAGCAACTCCTCATTTTAATCAATGTGGAAAGATAGCTTTTACTACATAAAATTTTTCTCTTCTACTCGTCTTGATCATGATACTAACTTCTCATCTTGATCAGTGCTTAACACCTTAAATATGCACAATACCTAATTCACTGTAACTCCTCATCTTGATCAATGGAGAAACATGATTCTTACTACACAAAACTTCTCTCTTCTACTCATCTTGATCATTGTATGGCTCCATTGAATATTACAGAATTACACTATTACAGTACAATTAAACTTCTCTGTTCAGCTTACACTAGCAGGCCTCAGCTGGACAACTATTAGGAATATGTTTATTAGGCACTGTATGGTAAGGGGAAAGAATATCAACAACACCATTCGAGAAAGGGAAAAAATAATCAGTTAAAGCTTGCATCATTGAGTTAAGTCTATTATCTGAAATTGTGACTTGTGAAGAATGTCAAGAAGCACAAAAAATTGGGACTATGTAAGTATAACTGCAGTACCCCTTTTAACAAACTGCACCTTCCAGACTAAAGGAGAAAATATTTGATAACACCATGAAGTACCAATGAGATGTGCAGTGATTACATCATGATGGAAAATGGAGTACAAAATCTAAGAACAAAACTCTTTGCTCCAAGAGACTATCACTTTCACCAGTAAGTTTTTAATGCTAATGGTTCTAGAAGTGGATATCTCAAGATCAATGATGATGGAAACACAATCATTCTAGAGTTGAAAGCATATACAAAATGCGCATGAATGAGTTTAAGGTTCTCTCATTCACTATTAATTTCAATTTTCAATATCACCTAAAATTTGCTACTTTCTAACACTACAGAGTAAAGACAGTTATTTTGGGAAATGAGACAAAAATACGCATAATAATAAAAGACAACTAGTAAACTTTCAATGATGATATCTGAGAACCAATCTATGGAAGTGGTAAAAAGAAGAAAGATTGAAGACCTTATTAAGAAGAAAATCCATCTATTTCTCAATAAAAGATTTGACAGTTCCCATCCACCGGATAAACTCAGTCTTATCTTTGTTCATCATATACTCATGTAAGAAAACAGCAAGTTCATCAGTTACCCCCCTCGCCTCCAAGAATTCCTGGAGTGAATCCTGAAGATCATCGCTCAAATCCCTGAATAAAAGAAAAAACAAATATGTAAACTAATTAGAATGTCGAACCAATACCAAACACGCTAAAATCATGACCAGGAAATTAAGAAAAAAAATAAGAATCAAACAATTTCATACTTAAAACCAGGTCCTGTATAAGGCGCCGCAGGCATTCCGTCACGCTTAAGCAAAAAAACTTTCTGAATCTCCAAGCAGTCCGGCCATGCAGAGCATATGAACTCCAAAACATCGCAACCCTCCACCTTGGAAACATCGACAATCAAGCTGATGTGAAGCTTCATGTCTTCCCCTTGGGCATCATCACCGGATTTAGGAACAGGAATGGACCCATCGAACATCGTAACCTCAATTTTAATCTCTTCTTTGTCTCCACATTTCCTTCTCAATCTAACCCACTGCTCTCCTGGCCTATCCTCCACCGTAAACGAATTGAATTCTGTAACAGGCTTTACTCCAAGAAAGAAATTCAGAGGTGTGGAGAGAAGAAAATGAACTAGTTAATCAATGAACCCAATTTAGCGAGAGAGATTATACCTCTTTGGAAGGGGCGTATTCCGACTCGTATTGAATCTCGGTGCGAAGGATTCTCAGTATGTTCCCTTCAAAGGCAGATTTACGCATCTCAGTGATGTAATTTCGCGTCTGGAAGACCTGGTTGAGAGAGTTGTGGAAGGGTTTCTCGATTTGAAGAGGAGATTGCTGTAGTCTAGAAATTAGGGTTTTGGGTGACGAAGGCAAAGAAGAAGACAGATATGCTCTTCGCGCCATCTGAATTAGACGGGCCATGATGGAGAGACGGTGCGTGTTTCCTGTGCTTCTGGCTGTGTGCAGTTTTGAACTATGGAGGTAAGGGTTAAGGAGGGTTTAGGTTCCAAGGCAATAGAAATTAGAAAATCTTGGCAGACTGTATAATCGAGCCGAGCCGAATCGAGTTTTGGGAGGTTCAATCTCGAGATCGAGCTCGACTAAAAACTCAGACTACTCAGTGGTCGATTGAGTTTTTCAGTTTCATATTCGATAATTCTTTTTCTTTTTTTTTTTTTTTTTTTTGCAAATTTCTTAAACCCTATGGTTTAAGCTAATCGACCACTCATCTTTTCTGTTTACAGTACCCCTAAGTTTTTTTATAATTGTTTAAAGCCTTTCTTGTGGTTAAGTTTTCATCACACTCTATTCACATGTGACATTATAATATGGCTATTTTTTTAAATTCCTAAAATACTCTTTTATGGTTCCACCCAAGATTCAAAAAATCGATACGATACGCCTCATATCGGGCATATCGTATCATATCTTTTGGGTTCTGATACGCCTATTTATAAGTATTTCGAGACCCCACTATTTTCTAATGACAAATATAGGTATTAAAGTTCCCAAAAACCAAATTTTGAAAAAAAAAATAAAAGAAATCATATTTCCATGTGGTTCAAAGTATCGATATGCCTCTGGGGATACGTAGAAGAGGCGTATTCGCAGAGGCGTATCAATACCTTGAACCATGGTTCCACCCCATCCCAATCTTCATCTCCAGTTCCATCTCTATCTCTGACTCCGATTCCGTTTTTTGTCTCCGCCTCCATCTTCAATTTCGTCTTCATCTTTGTATTTGTCTCCGTCTTCATCTCTCATTCTCCATTTTCCGTCTTCCCGTCTCCTTCTCTATCTCCATTTCTCCAACCTTGTTCTTTATTTGTAAGAAAAAAGTGTTTAGAATACTGCTCGGTCCGTTGACACCTTAAACATCATTGCATTGCCGGCTGGTGGAAGAGGGGACGAAGAGGAACTAACCAAGGAAAACATTAAGGATCCTTCATTCTCCATTGGAACCATAAGCCTTGGTGTGACAAAGAGAAAATCAAAGAGTCGTGAGGTGATTGGGGTATTTGAGAGTGATGAGCAATCTGATTTGGGAGTAAAGACTCCTAAAGATGTGAAGATACGCATGAAATTATCAACCCAGTTTGGCCCTTGATGTTTCAAGCAGTTGTCTAGTTTTTTAAAGATAAAATTTGTTCTTTTTCTGATACCCATCTACTAAAGGTTGCGTTTTGGTGAATGCCCATCTATTGGAAAATGAAATATTTTATTTTCTGATAACTTGTCTACAGGCATCCGAATCAATGAAAGAAATGGTTTTGGGTGTCTTGGAAACCTGAAGGAATCATTATGTGCAAGCTTCATATCCAACTCACCCATCAATCCTTATCAACTCCTCTGAGTCTACAATTTTTTGTCAACAATAAAATTTAGACGAACCAAAGTTTCATTCCCACCTAAGAAACTGTGATTTTGATCTCTCATGAATTTCCTTCGGGTTGGTAGAGATATTTTAGATGGGAATGGAGGAACTAAACGACAAGAGTGAGAGCAAGGGGTTGGGAGAAGGAGAGAGGCAGAAATGGTGGAATTGTAGTGGTGGGGATTGGTGACTGCTCTGGTTCAATTTCAACGATGATTGTGGAGAAAAAATAGGGGCGGTGGAGATTGAAAGAGTGCACTGAATTAATCACACAAAAACCCATCTTTATCATATGGGTTTTATTTTTGAAAATTTGAGGAATAATGGAGGGTAAATTTGACATTTCATTATTTTTTCGTTAGTGCTTAATGACGATGTCAATTGTGAGAAGCAATAAGGGTACTTTAAGCTAATATGTAAACAATAAGGGTAGAGTTAGTTAATTAGCTAAACCATAAGGGTAGTTTAAGAAATTTGCCCTTTTCTTACTCACCTTTGCCCCTGTAGCCTAGGGGCCGTAATTCAATTCTCCCTAACATCTTATAGCATTTTTTCTAACAATATTAACAATTCTTCTCAAAGGTGGTGTGAGCCAATAACAGGGCTCAAAACAGAGATCAGTTTCAATCAGTGTAAGACCCATTCGAACACCATTCAAACAGCCTTTATAGCCTTACATTGGGAATATCTCCATACTTATGTGCTTTATTTCATGAGGAGATATTCCCAATGCAAGACTAAATCTAGTTTCCTCAAAACCGCATCTGGTCTAGGGCTATTCAGTTATGTGTCATCCAAGTTACCACTTAGCTTATGTGCCAACTCAATTCAATACTTGTGAGTTATTCGAGTTTAATTTGGCCCATATCAATTATAAATAAATTAATATTATGAAATATTATAAATAAAAATGTATTATGAAACTTAATTATAAATTTATCTCTTTATATTATAAATAAAAATATATTAAAAATAATAGTTTACTAGAAGCTCAATTAGGCTCATGAGTTGCTCAAGATTGGGTATTATGAAGCTCAAATTCAGCTCGACTCAATAATCTTCGAGTCGAATCCAAGTATTTAGTGAGGCAAGCCCGAACAACTCACGAACTGGCTTGACTCGCTTACACCTCTAAATCAGACTATCCTCCAACACGCATCGACTGTGTAGTACACCAAATAACACACATGTTACACTAGGGAAAAAATGGAGTGGGATATCTCTAGTGTAGGGTTTTTTCTCTTTGGAGGTATTCCCCTCTCCAAATTTCTCTTATCCTACTAGTGTGTTTAGCTCTACTAGTGTATGTTTGTCCTAACTTTGGTTAGCATTAGGTTTTCACTGATGTTCCGATCTAATCCTCTTAGTGGATGAAGAGATTCAAAAGGTTCCTATGGAGTTTGAGGGAGAAGAGATTCCAAAATTAACTAGTGCAAAAGATGAGGCAAATAGAGTTTGGAATAGATTGTTTGTTTGTAAGATATTAACAAAGAAATAACTAAGTTTCAAAGAGGTATTCAGCATGTTCAAGCAGTTGTGGAGAGAACACAGGTTTCTAAAGGTTGATGACCTCGGTTAAGATGGGTGATTTCTCTTAACCTTCAAAACTGAGGTTGGTCTGCATCGAATTTTGATGTATGGCCCTTGGTCATTTACAAACAACATCATCTCGCACTATAATTACTAGAAAGGCTTAGTAATTTTTAAAGCTCCCCTATTCCATTTTGTCATCTAATTGCAAATTCATAGGCTTCTATTGGACTAGATGTCAAAGCCCATGGGAAGCAATTTTGGAGTAGTAGGAGAAGTTTTGGAAATTGCAAAGACTAAACAAAATAAAGTGGTGGTGAACTTTCTAAGGGCGAGAGTTAGAATACCCATTTCCTCACCATTAAAATAAGGGTATCCTCTTCAAAGAGAAAATAAGGACCCTTTATGGGTTGAGTTAGATATGAGATTACCTAACTTTTGCTTCACTTATGGAAATATTGGTCATATAAACCACTAATGCCTAAAGAGTACTTCGAAATGGGGTGTGAATAAATGAATTAAAAGTTGGCCGACGAAATGTGCCTCTAGAGTCTTAGGCCCATGAGTAAGGGTGGAGTTCCATAGTGGTAGGAAAAATTGAGTGATCATTGTTAGATTTGGAAGAGTTATAGCTCTCTATGGGGAAGAGATGAATTAGAAGTTCAGATGCAAAGAAGTGACAAAGTCGATGAAGGAGGTCGAAGAGGGGGCATGGAAAGAGAATTAGTATCCTAATATCATGTTGTCTTGGAGAGATTGGATGATTTAGGTATCAATAGAGAAGGTTCACGTCAAGGGGAGTGAAGGGCAAAAACTATAATCGAATCATCTAATGATTGCACACTACCCCATAATCAAGGTAAGGCTATGCTAATTGGATTGTTTCCAAAAAATACGTAGAGAAGGAGATTACCTAAGGCAATGGGGTCTATAGAAAGGGGAATGATGGATGGCTATATTCCTAAACTGACAGATACCTTAGGAAACACTCTTTAATCATTAAAGTTGGGCTTGGCCCACATTAGTTCCATAGTCGAAATAATTGCTAGCTCCCTTTATTTAGGCCCATATTACACCTAGTCCTAGGACCAAAAGAGAATTGAGAAAAGGCATCTAACCCCTATCTTATATGAGGTGACTAAGAAGCCCATAATTCTTGATGAACTTGAAAGCAGTGAGAAAGCATGTGATGTTTGTGATAATCTATCCCAAACAATAGAACTTATCCAACCTCGATACCCATCTATTGACTCATCAGCACCCTTGGGTGTTGCCGACAACTATGAATCTAATTGCTTAGAACTACTATGGCCTAGGGTAAGACCTTTGCAGTTCATGCTCTAAGGGAGGTCTTGCCTCACTTTAAACCAAGAATAATGTTCCTGTTGGAAACAAAAGTCCAATCTGAAAAAGGTGATAAGGAGGATTAGGTGGTGGAGTTTTGATCGGTTTCATTTAGTGGAGCCAAAGGAGATATCAAGTGATTTGTTATTAGTTTGGAATGATGAAACAAAAGTTGAAGTATTATTTTGTTTTAGGACCTAGGATTTCATTGGTGAGCCACCTTTATATATGAGGAGTCTATATGAAATCATTAGCACTTAGTGTGGGATTCCCTTTATTTTTTGGCGATTTTAATGAGATTATAAGCTTTCTAAAGAAGTTTGGAGGTGAATTGAGAAAGTATAAGGCTATTTAGAGAATGAATTGAGGAAGCTGGTCTATTAGACCTAAAAAGGTAAGGATATCGATTTACATGGCCAAATTGAAGGGAAGGCACATAGAATATCATTGGCTAAACAAGCAACTAGTTTCCCCTACATGGAGAGAGCTACATCTAAAAGCTATAATAACTCTAAAGGTGCACAAGTGCTCGAACCATTGCCTAGTGGAGTCAAGTGTTAATTTTTTTCATAGCAATGACGACAACCATTTTTATTTGAAACAGTGTAGGTTTCTCACCTATATTGCAATGAAGCAATTTAGTCTACTTGGAAAGTGAATTCAAAAGTCTTATAGAATCCTATAATGCGGTTGGTTGGAAAAATGAGTACATGTCAAAGGAGGTTGAGGTTAAGGAAGTGTAATGGTGTCATTTGGGCAAATTAGGAAGAGGATTATGGATATTAAATACTAATAGGAGGCTATTCAACAATAAGTGAAGAGTGGCTAGGATTGTCATTAGGAATTGCAACTTTAGAACCAACCCAAACAGGAGTTATCTAG